CTCCAAGCTGTCTTGTCAGTCATTTCCACAGAGCCAAACAAGAAGGGAAAGGGTGAAAGTGCAGAAGTGAAGAGGCAATTGCTCTCTAGACAGGTCGATCCAGACTGTATACACTAACAGGAATGGTCCCTCGGAAGGATTTGTCACATAATCACACGCTGCGAACGTACAGAACTTGGCAGAGTTGAAGTATTTGAAACCATGCACAAAGGCCCTAAGTGGAGAGAGAGCCTCACAGAAACACTCTCTTGATCTCTCCTTTGCTTTGGCTTCTTTACTTTCTTTCCCTTTCTCTCCCTTTATTATTTTTCTTTACATTTTTTTTTTCTTCTGATATGTAATTTCAAGAATCTGTCACACATAGTGCAAGAGAATAAAAAATGATTAACGTGAGAGTATTTGCCTCCTTTCTTTTCCCAGCCTACTAACTCTGGCATGGCCTACCTGGCATTTCTTCTTTTCTTCCCAAACCAGCGTCACCCCTACTGGGTTTCATTATGCAGCTCAGAGTGACAAATTTGAAGGGAGAGTAGGGATGTAAGAAGAACAAATGAGCCTGCCGAGAAGAGCCACCACTTCTTGACCAAGAGAGAAGAGAAGGCAGAGGAGGGAGGGAGGCGAGAGCAGTGATTAACACGCGAGTGGAAGACAGCGGGCAACTTTGGGGTTTAGGGACTGACATGAAGATACAGGCTTCGGAATATCTAGAGAATGACAAATTGGAAAATGTTTTAAAAAAGGATTTATAAAAATAATGTTGCCTTGAGTTAAAAATAGTATCTCTTTTACAGTTCTTTGACAACATGGAAATAGAAATTGGAATCACTTTTCTTTTAGCTTGCTGGATTTTTTTTTATATGATATACCAAATTATCCTGGTTGCATAATGGTTTTGGTGGTAGATAAAAGTCTTTGCTTATAAAAGTAACCCAAAGGAAAACTTGTTTTATGAATGTTACTGTGTAATCTGCCAAGGCATCTGTGTGTCAGCTAGATTATCATTTGAATTAAGAGTCCATCACTATCAAGAAAGGAGTGATTTTTGTGGGAGACAGTAACATACTACATAGAGAAAGGAATAAATGGGAACAGCTACAAGGATCATCTCCCCCCACACTTTCTGTTAGCTAAACATTACAAATCAAATAAGTCATTCTTTGTTAGAGATGCCCTCATACATAATGGTTTTATCTTTGTTTACGTCTATTGAGTTGAAAGAATAAATAACACTTAATTACATTTACATAGACCCTAAGAATATATCATTTTATAAAAATAGCCCATATACTTTATAAACAATCCATGACTTATTAGAATTAACTAGTGTAACTATTTTTTTTTCTGATATATTATCATTATAATTTCTCTATAAATGCTGCTGATGAGGCTATAGATTTAGGGTGACCTTGTACATACACAAACACCAATGTTAGAAGCATTCTAAGCTATTATAAAGACACTGACATTTATGCAAATATAGAGATAACTACTGTTTTGTGTATAGAACAATTAAATAATAGCACATGTGATGAATCTTGTGCTATAAAAACAAATGAAATATCAATAGGATGAATTTGGCTTTCATAGTATAATTTTTGGTAGGCTATGTTATTGCTACATAATAGGAAGCAAATAATTCACGGAATGTACTAAAGCTTGAGTAAAGGTGGTGTTCCTAAAATTTTTAAGTGGAATAAAGGATTAGAGAGGAAGAAAATCCATGCATAAAAACAAAGTGCTAAGGGAGGCCCTTCCTTTTTCTTAAAATAGCTTCATGGTTGCAATGTTTGATTGTGAAAGCTGGTCCATTTGAAACATTTACAGGTCTAAATTGATGACAGCCAAAGGGAATGACTAGTTCTTCTCTCAGCATCTGACATATGCAGGTAACATTCTCCTCTTTAAATGTCAGGGTCTCCATGACCTCCTGCACAGGTTTATTAGAGTAACTATCACATCTCTTCACCAAACACCTTGTCCTCATTACCACAGGTATTTCAGTGCTAAAGAGATCCATTATTTGTTTTTAGTTTAGCTCTATTCTGTCATTGAGTAAAGAACTTTCTATCAGCAAGGAGTGGATGACCAAACTGTACTCATATACTTGCCAATATATTCTTCTACTACATGTATTAACCATTTATTAACAAATGAAAGCCTTTCAGTTAAGATACATTAGAAAAATTTCAAAATGCCATCTGTTTCTGATCATCAGAACTTTAAATTAGGAATATTTACTCATGACAGGTTTATCTAATCCAAGTTTCTTTGAAAAATCATGTAAAAATATTTAGACAGATGAACAACATTATTGGAAGGGAGAAATTAGTGAGAGGTAGAGGTTGAATCTAGAGGCAAGATACTGAAAATTTGAAAATATTCCAAATTACAAACTTAAATTACGAGTGAGAGAATAAGAACAGTGTACGCAATTAAGCATTAGAGCCAGGCTGAGTAAGAAAAGGGGAGGGAAATGCTAAATCTAACCACACGCTGTCTCACCCTGGCTCCAACATGGCCAAGCTGGTTTCTGAGCATTCGGGCCCCTCCTTGCAGCCACACCATCAATAGTGGCAGAAACTCCATCAATAGTGTTGGTAATACTGCACAGGGTGGAACAGTAGGACAAAAGAGGATTTCAAAAAAAATTTTTTTTTCTATGTTATATGTTTACGTTGTGATTAGATAACTGGGCAGATATCTAATCAATCAATCAAGTAATCAACCCTATTTATGAATTGATCATGTAAATTTTTTCATAATATATTCACTATATAAGGAGCACTCTGTCTTGTTGTGGGTTTCTAAGGGACATCTTGTAAAGGAGAAGCAATGCTGTCAGGAGAGAGACTGCAGATGGAAAGTCAGGCTGTAGTTTGCAAATAGATGATAGATCATTTATGTAACATGAGCAGCTCCCCAGGTCCAGAAACAAAAAGGGAAAGGGAATTCTAATGGTAGTCTGAAGAATGCCCCATTATCTCTGAAAGGAAGCAGGAGAAAGTGGCTGAAATAAAATACTGGAGAGAAGGAAAAGAAATGGCCTTCAACCTGAGATCGAAGCAAGATGTCAGGTTTTGTGGGAATCTCTTTTAGTCCAACCACAGAAATGGGATGCCTCTACAATCAGCTTGAGCTGGAAGACATCCAGGCCCCAAATCAGGTACATCTGCTCAGTGTCCATTCTCTACCCCAGCCATGCCCCAGGCCCAACTTCCCAATCCTTGGTCATTTCTTCTTGACTTTACTCTTGTCATCCTGTGTCCAGACCTGACAACAGAACCTTCTTTGGCCCTGCAACTCTGCCTGTGGGTCTGACCCAAATCTTATGCTTGATTCCTGCAAGTCCTCAGTTCTGGGTGAGCTGTGTTCCCAAAAGGCAACAATATTCTGCCACAAGACCTGGGCTCCAGAGACAGCCCCTGACTCTTCCCAACTGCAAAAGCTGCACTTGTACCGTGAGTGCAGCAGTGACCCCGAGGCCTGGAGTAAGGCCTGCAGTATGGCCTGCCTGGCGTTCCAAAGCCTCCAGTCTGGCTGGAGGATTCAGTGACAAGAATTAACTAACCCTGACTCTAACCCAGGTACTTGCCCAAGGGAGGGGGTTCAGTTCTTACTGAAAATATCTGCAAGGAGCTCTCTTATTCTAGCCCAAAACCTGTGATAGGAGGCAGAGGAGTTTGCATATTTTGGTCTTTTAGACATGCCCAGTTTCCCTGGCTTATATTTGATCAGATCATCTATTCCCTGTTTTCCTCCCGCCTCCATGGACACTCCTGCTTAATCCCCTTTATACCTCCTTTACCCAGCTTGGCCCTAGGACTTTTTCATTTACGGCTGTCTAATTGCTCTAGGAAATCCCCCCCACTCCACAGCTTCAGTATGCTTAAAGCTACAAATGCATACATCGTGAAATTTATATAGCATCTCCAATCTAGATTTCCTTTTTTGTCCAGACCCACCTATACCTCTATTTGACCTCTCCTTAGATATCTCAAAATGTCCTCAAATTCAACATATTCAAAACTGAACTCTCCAATTCCCCTCAAGGCTGGGGTCCTTCAGTGTTCTCTACCTAGGTAAGTGACCCCAGCATCCATCCAGTTCCACAGCCAGGAACCTAGGGCCCATCTGGACACCTCTATCTCCCTCACCTCCCATATTCAGTCTATTACCAAGTCCTTCAGAACTATGTTATCTACTTGGCATCACCTTCTCTACTACTCCTATCATCCAGAGAGTTAGGTCAGGGTAAAAATTTTAAAAGCTACTAATTATCAAAGGTTTATTATATACCAGGCAGGCACTCTTAAAATTTTACGTAAATTAACTTTTCTAATCACCCTATGTATTAATTTCCTAGGGCTGATGTAATAGATTACATCAGACTATCACATTATCACATTATTGTGATGATTAATGTGATAGTCTGATAGTTATTACATTAATTATCAGACAATCCTACACCACTAGTATTATCTTACAAAATTATAGAACAGATCCAGTGCAGGGCATGATGCCTTTCATATAGAGAGAGAGATGTCGATTTGCTGTTACACTCATCTCTGCATTCATTGGTTGCTTCTTGTATGTGCCCTGGGGATCGAACCTGCAACCTTGTCATATCAGGACGACGCTTCACCCAACTGAGCTACCTGGCCAGGGCCTATAGTAACTTCTTTTACTACTACTTTCTGCCGTCATTTATACCCATTTCCCCTTGTTCTTGTGATATGGGTGTATATAAGGTCACAGGACTATATATTCAACTTTCATATATCCTAAAGCACTTCATGGTAATTGACTATGTACTACCTTCTATAAACAATAAAACCAATTTTATTGTGCCTCTAGAATATTGCTGTTGTGCTTTAGTCTCTCTATATAGATACAGTGGCATCAGGTCCATTTCTGTTGGCTTTATAACAACATACAATACAATAAAATATAATAAAATAAAAATGTAAAGTGGCAACAATTAAAAGTTTACTTCAACTTACGGTTAATGCTGTTTCATATTCTCCAGCAGCCAAGTGTGCTAAGCCCAGGTAGTAGGCAGCTTCCCCTTCCATCTTTTTGTCATTTCCTAAAGTGAAAAGGCAGAAAAATTACTGTGGCTTTAAAGAAATTGATTTATTACAACAAGGAGAATATTTGCTTTTTAAGACAGTGGAAAGTTATAGCAAAGTATACACATTTATCAACAATTCCTGAAATCTAACTGTATACTGTTTTTAAAAAAAAGTCTGATGTTAACACAGTTTCCCTGGATCACAGATGTTAAAGTGTATTAGCAATATAATTACGAGGAACTATCCTCTACATACAGACCAGTATTACCATTTGAGATTCATATATAACTTCTGTACTGGCCATGGGGTGAAGACCCACAGTCATCAGCATAGCTGCTCCTACGTACATCAAATAACGGTCAAGAGAACCAACATTCATGGCGCACAAACACGTACGCAAAACCGACATTCAGCTCGGTCTCTAACAGGGCAGATAATTAGCAAATTAAGGAATTAGTTTTTGATTAGGTTCAATTTAAAAGCTATTGGTTAACATGGACACAGACAATAGTGCGCTGAAGGCCCGAGGGGAGGCAGGAGGGGAAAGGGAGGAGGCCAATGGGGGGAAAAGGGGGCCATCTGTAAAACTTTCAACAATAAAGATAAATTTTAAAAAATGAATAAATAAAACCTATTGGTTAAAACTTGGATGAGAATGACTGACAGAGCTTGACCTGTTGGTGCAAAACTCCATGCACATTTTGAAATCCAAACCCATAATGCTTCTCATAAGGAATTTAGCTTTTCTAATTTCTGTGTGATGTGTTTTATTCCAGGAATTATCAAATTCTTCTTTCCAAAAGCAGAATGCTTAAACACTCAACACGGGGTCCAATAAGACATACATCATCCCATCTCATGAACATATAATGTATTCACATTCAATCTACTGAATATGACATATAAATCTAATATACTTACAAAAACCATTAAAGATTCTTATGTATAAGAAGAAAGCTATCCTTTTTCTGCTTTGGGAAGTCATTGGCTTGCAGAGTTACCTAACTCCTAGGTAATGCAAATGCGCACAGATGCGCCTCATTTTTGATCTCTGGGAAGCAAGTGTCCTTAGATTTTGAACTCTGCCTCCAACAGGCTGGATTCTGGCTGGAGCAGCAGTTCCCGGGGCCCCCCTTGGGGAACCCACTCGGGCCGCACACTCCCTGGGAAGACTGCAAGGAAACGGGGTGGCAAACGCCGGGGGCCTTTTTCCCTTCTCTGGCAATTCTACCAACTGCAGAGAATTATACCCTTAAGATTTCACTTCAGCGGGGTTGATAATACCAGGGATCCAGTCGAGGGAATTTTAACTCTTAAAATTCAGCGGGGCATTAACTTTTTCTCCGGTGCAGGTGCATGAGCGCTGGGGTGGGGGTCAGAGAGATGGGGTGAAAGGGAGAGGCTGGTGGGGGAAGCTGCCCCTCGAGTGATTAAAAGTTAGTTCTGTGTGACTTGTGCTCACCGTGTTAAGTGGTATAAGTGTGTTAAAAGCACTAACAACAGCATGGGCTGATGTATTCTTATCATTTGCGTCTATTTTTTGTAAAGGGCATCTTAGCAAAGAGGAGGAGAGGGAGAAAATCTACCCTCGCTGATAGAAAGATTTTTTGAGACAGTGAATTGAAACAGTTGGATCACATCAAATATTGGTTTTAAAATAGGATTTAAGCATGGAACTTTTCCTGCTTACTCTCTGAGAAAAAGTTAAAATAAAGTGAAAGCAATAAAATAATGGAGGAAAATGTCAGCACTATTAAAGTTGAGTGACACATATACCAAAGGAATAAAGAGGGAAAGTACTATTTATATTGTGTAGTTTGAGTGGGTTGAATTAATATTGGCTTTGCTATCTAAATCAATACTTATTTATCTGAAATAAAAGACTTTTATTTTCAAGACTCTGGGAACCATTCTTTCTTTGTGAACGACCTTACAATTGAGCAAATGTGAACCTAAAGTAAAATACCTTTTCCTAATTGATACTTTACAGTGAAATTCTACGTAACTTTACAGATAACTGAAGTCAGCTGCTGAAATGGATGTAAGAGCTAACTATTTATATCAGTGTTAACCCCTTTGGGGAAGGTACTAGATCACCATTCATTTAAAAGCAGTTCATACAATGAGATACATCTTTCAAAGGGGGGTGATTTCCCATGGGTATTCCAACTAATATTATTAAACGACGTAATACAGAGAATAAGCTAAGATGTTTACTTTTCCTCTTTAGAAAATTAAAATCACACCCAGAAAATCAGTTTCGCTTACTTCAAAGAAGCCATCTGTTATTCCAACAGAGCAAATATATCCACAAGCCAATACATTTCAGGTCAAGAGCAGAACTGCTACCTTTTTTGCCTTCATAAAAAGGCTACTCTTTTAATAAATTACTATATGGAAATAAAATATCTTTGCATTTCACAAAGTAAAAGCTTATGAGTATAGACTCCACATTAAAAAAAAAATATTTTATATATATGCAAATGTATAGAATATCAAGAATCAGTTTTCACAAAAGTGTTTTCACTGCTGTAAATGTGCATATGAATCACCTGGGGATCTTGCTAATCTGCAGACTCCGATGCAGCAGGTCCCAGGTGGGGCCTGAGATGCTGCTTTTCTTACAAGCTTCGCGGTGATGCTGATGCTACCAGCCCAAAGGCCACACTGTGACAGGCAAGTGTCTAAAATATATTAGAGTTCTATTTTCCTGTTACTCCTAACTAAATATTTATCATATCTTCCCTATTCCCTGACAATGGGGAATTTACAAACAATGAAAGTTCTCTCAGATTGTAAGAATAATAAAACCTTAAACACACACACACATACACACACACATGCACCCCCTTAACTTTTGCAAATGACCTTACTTTCTCATTATGGGTTCATTGTTTTATAACACTGCTCCCAGAAGGTTGTAATTTTGGAGATAAAGCTTTCAAGAAACTAATGGATTTCTTGTTGTCAGCACTAAGGCACCTCTGTTTTACAGTGAAACTTGAAAGTATATTGATGGCATTTGTCTTTGCATTTCATAGGAAATAATCACCCAAACACTTGACGATGTTTATGTCTCTCCTGGGAGAAGCAGTGTCTGCCCATTAAAGGAAGCGCTGCGAGAGTGTTCTTTCCCACTTACCTTCTTTGGCTATTTCAGAGGCTTTTATTAGAATTCTGATGGCCTGTTTGTAATCTTTATTTTCCAGCATTTTGTCTGAGAGTAATCTGTAAGTCCTCAGGAGACTCTCGCAGGCCAACAAGTTGAGAAAGCGGCCTGTCTCGTCCTTCCATATCCGCCCCTGCGTCAATTGATGGAATGCTTCATAATGCTCGGCAGCTTCCAGAAGATAACCTGAAGAATAAAAGCCATTCATAAATATAAACCACAGGCCAGAACATATTTTCAAAAATGTTTGCGTACATCTCATGTTTTACTATTAAGGGGGGGAGGGGGCGTGAGATACAGTCAAGGATTTCTAAGGCTGAAGAAGACTTAAGCTGGAAAGGGAGCTATCTCCATGGGCACCTCAGATTCAGCGTGGACTCTGGATGGACACCTGCTACAGGGATGCATTTTGGCTGGTAGAAATTCACCAGGATTATGGATGTTTAGAGAGAAAGTGAAAGTCCAGTAATTATTAATGACAATCGTATTAGCTAACATTCATTTAATGTTATAGATGCAAAGCACTGCACTATGTGCTTTATGTGCATTTCTCATTTAATCTTCAGAACAGTCCTGTGGAATAGATTTGTGATTCCATTTTACAGAAGAGAAAGCGACGGTAAGAATTTTGCCCAAGACTGCATGTCTGGATCCAGGCAGTCTGACTCCAGGGCCCATGCTCCCCACCACAGTCCTGCACTGCTTTCCCAGCAGGCTGCATCCCTCATTCTCCATTTGGGGATCTTGCGAAAGGAGGCATCCGTTACAAATTTCAAGTTCAAGTATTATGGGACTTTAAACTACTTCTCAAAGTTTGACGGAACTTTCCAAGCAGGCACTTCTATACAGTATTCTGTTTAATTCTGAATAATTAAAATGTAACTTAACTGCCTTCCTGGATTATATTTCATAATATAGTCCAAATATATCTTCTCAAAGCCAAAACTCTAGATTAGCTCTGAGTCATTTCATTCCTTGAAATATGAACAAGCCTATTTCTGGAAGAGGAGTCTGCAGCTCCCTGCTGTGGATTGTATTTTATTTGTGAATTGCTTTGTGGAAATGTTCACAATAGCCTGTAATGTAAATACTCTTTCATGGCATTGGAGTTTCCTAACTGACATGAACTAGAAAGCACTTATATCCAGGCATTCAAACAGTAGTGGTTAAGGGTGAGGGCAGGCTCCAAACAGACAGCCTGAGTTTCTATCTCAACTTTATTTTACCTTTTTTGCTGTTGAGCCTCAGGCTAATTACTACCCACTCTGTGCCTGAATTTAATTCTTCTGCCAAATAGAATTATAGTGTAACTATCAAGGTGTTACTGTGAGAAATTAATACAAGTTCCATACCTGATGCAGAGTATGGGCCCAATAAACATAGCGACTGTTATCAGTTGACATAGTGATAATAGTTTTAAAAAACCCAAAAGTTGGTTGAAATATAGCCACTAATTTGTTTTTTAAGTACAACTTCATCTTCCTGCAAAAAACACAGTTGAGTCCTTATACCAATATTATCACGGCTGATTAAATTAACCCTATTTAGGTCATATCAGGCTCAATGTATTTCCTCAAATAGGAATCATTGGATATTGCAGGTTAGATATTAGAGGATAGTGCAGTCACTGCCAAGACTATTGCATGTAACTTCCCCCTATTTTTGCACTGTTTGTTATCAATACTAAAGTTTTAAAGAAAGCACACATAAAGAAGAATAGTATTCACACAGAAACACAAAAGAGATGGGTAATGAGCAAATAATCTGTATAAAAATTCAGTAAAGATGCGACCTGTCTGGGCCCTGCGGGGCCAGGCTGGAGGAGGGCATATCGGCTGAGATACAGGCAGACAGGGCAATGTGCGCTGCGGAGATGTTTATAAACCTGTACTACGAAATTTTCACACGATAAAAGACTACAAAGCCATAGCTATGATATTGCATAAGAATATTTCATTACATGGCCTGGTGTTAATGACAAGGGAAAATATTGAAAAACATCAGAAAACATTTACAAAACATCATCAGTGTTATATAGGTGATGAATGTTTTTTTCTGCTTTTATTTTTTCTCTCTGATCACTGGCATTTCCTAACGTTTCTAACATCATGATATGTTCATTTGTAATAAGAAATACACAATTGGAGCTATTTTAAAAATAATGCCCAATGCTTTTTCATTTTTGATACAAACACTCGAGGTTGAAGTTCAGTGCTCTAATCTATCTTTACATTTAACTGACAGTTTTTCTTTACCTCCCACAAAAGCAGGCATAGTTTGTCATCTCTCTCCTGTAGCACCTCTCACCAGAAACACCTTTCTCCAAATACCCATGACCCTCATTTTTTAAGAAACTCGAATGAAGCATTGACATATATGTGTGTTATGTTTCCTCAGTTAACTATATTTCTGCCTGTAAAGTATAGCTCTGCATCCCGGGGAAGATGTATACGAGAGTCCTTTTTTTCTATCCAGCATCCATCTGTTCATAAGGTCCAGACACATATTTCTCTTTGGCCACGTGAATAAGAGAAGAGGGTGGCTACAGGGAACTGTGAGTAAGCCAGATAGTCCAGAAAAAAACTGGGACTGTACAGAAACTAGGAAGGACCTAACGGCATCAATGGTCACGCACACACACAGGATCCCAGATGGAAAGAGGGTCCAAAGTTGTGTTATAAAATAACAGATTCGCTAAGAATTCCAGGAGGAGAGCCAGGGGATGAAGCTCTGGGTAACCCAACGAATTACAATGACATGCAAATGAGGCATAATGAAGTAAATAAAATATGACAGTTGATAGTCATGTTCAATATTTGATTTACGTGGGGGCAAAAAGGGGAGGCGGGGGAGGGGAGGGAAAGGTAGAAAGTGGGGAGAGGAGAGGTGGAGGAAACGGGAAAGGGGTGAAGGTAGGGAAGAGTGGGGAAAGGGTGGGGACTGTATCCTTGTGTTCCACATAAGCCAGACCTCCTGTGTCACTGATGCCATTCGGCATCCTTCACAGGCTGTCTAATCAGGAATGAAGTAAGGGAGGCACTTGGGACATTGGTGTAGGCTGGTTACTATGGAAGGCTCCTTGGAATAATTGAGAATAGTTGTTTTCAGCTGAGCTTGATTTTTGCTAGCGCTTTGGGGCTAGTAGGGCTTAGCTCATGATTATTGGCCAAGATTCAGCTCTCAGAAGAGACTATTTGAGGCCTCCCACAAGGAAGGAACATGGTCCAAGATGCTCAGATGAAAGAGAGCAGGGAACTATTTTCTCCTGAAGGCCTGCTAGGTGCTGGTCGAAATGGAAGGTTTCCTCCACCCCATACATTATCTTATTTAACCTTCAAAGAACTGGTAAAGTAAATATTACTTTTACACTAAAGAGAAAGCCTGAGGCTCACCAAGGTTAAATGACTCAAATGGCTAAAAACGGATGTTTAAGATTTAAACCCAGGATCACGAAAAACACATACAGCTTTGTACCATTACACCACATACTAGTCAACAAGCCAAGAGGCAGGAATCTTAGGTGGGGTAAGTGATATTCTCTGGACATAAATCTCTCAAGTTAACAGTCATGCGTAAGTTAAGTGATTTCTAGTATCTTCCCGTTCTATAACTCTGTGACTCTACTCAGGCGACCGCAGGTCACCTCTAACACAAAAGCACAGCTATCAGTCCCAACCTGCTTCTGATGGGTCTTTCTGAAGGAGTTGGATGTACAACCAGCTATGTAGCCTCCATCTAAATGTCCTACTTCCCCTGAACCACGCAGTGACATCTGTGGGGCACCTGGAATTCCTTGGGTGCCCCAGACCCGGCCACCGTGGCCGTATCCTGTCCATGGTTTTGCTCCCCCTTCTTCCGTCACCTTGCCGCAGACGAGCTCACTGGGGATTCTGATCAGCACAGTTTTACACCAAGCTGCCTACACAGAGGACAAAGAGTTTCCCAGCCCTTCTCAGGCACGGGGATTCATCTCCAAAATCTTTTGCAGGCAAAGAGGTCAGTAAGTAAGCCAGCGGGGACTTGATCCAAATGATCACAAACACACAAACGACTTGGCTGAATCTGCTACAGAGTGGTCAGACTGAAGGTACATATTATAAAATAGTATAGTATTTGACTTAAAATGTTAAAATATACATGTTTATACTATAAAAAGAGCACAGTCCTTTAAATATGCAAGTATTTCCCTTTAAGCACGCTTAACAATGATATGATTTCCATCCAATTTATATTTCCAACTGTGAATAAGACCTTAAAGGTTTTATCACTTTCTGAGTAAAGGCTCTGGTATTGAGACTGCATATTTGTTAAGATATAACACATATCTTAATATCCCTTCCTCAGGAATATTCACAGGTGTTAAAAGTCTCTGGAATTACCAGCAAATCTTCATCAGCACCGTGAGCAACAGGGGTCGCAAGAGCCATCGCAACAAGGACATGCCAACTGTTGCTCACCTAAGTGCCTGGCCAGGATACACAGCTTCCACTAATACTCCCAGTGACTCAGGGGAGAAAATGGGGCCAAAATGTTTTGTTGGACGGACTGGAGACGGCCTTCCACCAATGCATTCATCAGTCATCGATATATCTCAATACTATGAGGCAGTGTCAGAAAGCAAATCCTGGGAGACACACCGTGAACAATTATGTAGAACAACAGGCTCTAGGTATGCGTAGAAGTGGCCTAGGCCTCAGGATTATTGTTGTTGTGGGTTTTTTTTTAAACAATTACATAACATTTACATAAGCAGTAAAACACAAACAATAAAGAGGTTGACACATAAAGGAAATGTGTTTGGTTTGTCACATAAAGGAAAGTGCACTTTCAAAATAAAACTACTAGAAAGGAGTTTCACTTTATCTAAGGCCCACACAAACGAGAAATCCACTCATTCGTTTAAAAATACAAACCAAACCCAAACAATGTTGTAAACTGCGAAATTGCTTGGTAGGACTCTAAGACAAACGCTATGTAGAGAAAATAAGATTTTATATATTTGGGTATTATCCAAATTGTTGCTTGCCCTTCTTCCCTGCACATCTCTGAAAGTTTATAGATATTTGTGGTATCACAGCAGATGTCTAGAACAAATATTAAGCAAAGGAGAATGTATATGATCTCTCCCATTTTAGTTTTTTTTTTTTTAAAGTAGGAAGATTGACTAGATATTAACACAAATGGGT